GTCTCGCTCTGTTGCCAGGGCTAGAGTGCCGTGGTGTCAGCCTAGCTCACAGCAACCTCAAACTCCTGGGCTCAAGCGATCCTCCTGCCTCAGCTTCCCAAGTAGTTGGGAACTACAGGTGCACACCACCACGCCTGCCTACTTTTTTCTATTTTAGTAGAGACCGGGTCTCACTCTTGCTCAGGCTGGTCTAAAACTCCTGATCTCAAGCGATCCTCCTCCCACCCAGCCTTGGCCTCTCAGAGTGCTAGGATTACAGGTGTGAGCCACCACGCCCGGCCTAAGATTGTCAAATTTATCAGTGAAGTCTCACTAGGAAAACACGGGCTACCCGGGATTCATTAAATTTAGCAAAAAATAGGTCACCTAGCAAATGTTACTTCAGTTCTGTGGTCAGGGCTAGAAACTAGATGAGTGAATGGACAATGGGAAATGTAGGCTTTTAGAAACTTGGCTGGGAATGGAAAGAGGGTTAGATAGATATAAATGGTATTAACTAAGGATCCAGGGACAAGGTTGCCTTTTTTTTTAGTAGGACAGATGTGAGCATTTTTAAATACTTGGTGGTAAAGACCCAGTTGAGAGATTAAAGGAAAGTGGGAAATAAGGAGTAAAAAAGAGGGGGTAGGAATATGGGGAAAGGAAATTAAGGGAGTTCCAAACTCAAGGCCAGTATTTTCTTAGGAAAATAAAAGGATATTTATTTACTATATGAGAGAAGAGACGTATGAGGAGAAAAGGATCAAAATGGCTAATGTAAATGGTGAGACTGAATTGTTTAAAGAGCCTATCTCCATAATTACACTCTGATCCCATCCCTAATACTGGTCAATCACTTTGTGTTTCCAGCTTGTCCTACTGGACAAGACCAGAGGATATGGAAGCTGAAAGCATAGCAATGGAAGATATTCATTGATGGGCTGGGAAACTGAGGCATAAGGCGGGTAAATCGCTACCTAAGCCACACTAGTGTGGGAACAGGAAAGTTTAAAGATCCATTTTCTCTATTTCTGCTTTGGTGGAAATAAATGTCAGGGCTCTAAGTCTTATTAGTCTAATGAGGAGCCTTGGCTACAAGGGGAATACTTTTTATAACACAGGTACTTTGAGAAGATAAGCATTTAGCTACCTTTTACACTAGACAAATAAGATAAAAGATTACCATAAATTTTAAATCTATACTTATTTTGTAACTTGTTATCACAAAGTTGAGTTTAAGTCTGTCTACAAAAGAACAGTGTTTTCCCATAATACTGAAAAGTATATTTTAACAGTTCTAAGGGATGGTGATTTTTAAGTGACATTTAAAATGCTTTATATATTAGAGATAACACTATAATTACTAAAATTGTTGTAGAAACATGTTCAATTAAAGTTAAAAACTATGCTTATCACAAGTTGATTTTTATCCACCTTACTGTGTGTTAATCAACTAAATGTGACTTTGCTCACTTTATTCTGGTAACTTCACTTTCACTTCACCTGTTAGACAACACCAAGACCTGTCTTAACTTTCTCTCATAGGTGTGCTGTGGGGGTGAATTCCAACAGTTCTAATATTAGTCTATGCTGTTTTGTTAAAATTCCTGCATGGCAATGGCTCCTGATCAAGGCATGAAACATACTGATTCAATGGTGGTGTTTTGTAATCATGGGTCTGAAGACATTCAGGGTGGTTTGTCCAAGCTTGTTGGCATTGTTTATCGTGATTGATGATTTGCACCTGGTCTCGGTGAGCACACCTCTTTCCCCCACCTCAGAGGACTCTGCTGTAGCGCTAATTACCAAACGGGAACATACCCACTTGACCAGGAAAATATAAAAAAGCCCAGCCAAGACTCTCTTTTAGGTTCCCTGGTTCCACAGTGTCCTGTGTACACATCCTGATCTGAGAAAGTTCACATCCCACAACGAACTTTACAAAAGAAAGGATGATTAGAACCTGCATCTGACCTCTCTGGACAACTTGCTATGACAGCCTTTGACTGTGATGCACATACTAACTTTACTGCTGCTACTAGATTGTATCCTTTTCAAACTGAGATGTGCAAACACTGTCATTTTGGGTCCTATGAGTCTTCTACAGCCATCAAATTCTGCTTAACTGCCTCTGTTCGTGCAATAGGCCTTAATAATAAACCCAGTTATGCTAATATTCGTTTCTAAAAAGCAAAAACTCTAAGATGTCTCATGTCTTCTGCATGAAGCTACAGGTCAACACAACCTGTTATTAGAAAACTTAATGTGTCACAAGAGTGAATCACTGCCACCAACCTTATAAGGACAGCACATTTGCCAAGCATAAATTGTAAGAGTGAAGGAAAATAAAAAACAAAATCATGTGTTACCTTCATATTTTTCCAGAGCCTGTATAACATTAGGGAGTTGATTTATACCCTGATAGAGTCGGTAACAATCTTGTAAGTTTGCTGCTTGTCTTTGAAATTTCTTAGCAAGTCGGTTAAGATCTGGGAAGCGACGAAGTAAATCTTCTTGTAAACTCTGCCTCAACTCTGCATCTTCTACAAAAGCTTCCACTAAATTTAATCTGAAATAAATTAACTAGAATTAATCTTAAATTTTAGTATAAAATTAAAATATGTCAACTAGGCACATAAGGCTCAACGAAATGAATGCAAAATTCCATGTAAGATTTAATCTATTCTCAAATGTTAGCTTCTTTTAGAGCTGCAGTCCCCAAACTTTTTGGCACCAGGGATTGTTTTCATGGAAGACAATTTTTCCACGGACCAGGGAGGGAGGGGGAATGGTTTGGAGATGATTCAAGTGCATTACATTTATTGTGCACTTCATTTCTATTATTATTACATTGTAACATATAACGAAATAATTATACAACTCACCATAGGTTGGGGATCCCTGTTTTAGAAGTGGAAAGCTCCATAAAACTGTGAGGCAAGCATTTCCTGATTAGCTAAGTGTCAAATTAATGTTTAGTTAAGTAGTGTCATAAGACACTAAAATATACCCAGTTTTGACTTGCAATAAATTGATATTTCTTAAATAGAAAAATTTCATTACTGAGACATCGTTGTTATTAACACATTATTGCACATGTAAACAGTGATGTTTAATGAAACAGAATTACAGTTCAAGAATGTTGCCAGATCCAATAGTCTATCAGAAGGTATTACAAATTTTCAGAATACTTTCTAAAATTACCTCTTGACAGTACAAAGCCAAAAACATTAATTAAAAAACTGAATAATTTTATTGCTTCCCAAAGTCAATAAATAAAATCTCAAGCTTGTTTCAAGAGCTATAGAACATGTAGCTCAGACTGCTTTTGCAATTTACTGGAAATCAGTGGCTTTCCATTTTTTTCACTGTAACCCACAGCAAGAAATTATGTCTTTACATCATGATGCTGCACATGTATGCATAGATATATAATTAAAATAGGTCTTACAAAACAATACTTAACATATGTGATACACTGTTATTTTCTATTGTATTTAATTTTTCAAAAACGTTATCACTCACTACACTAATTACACAACCCACTTCCTGGACACAACTTGGAGTTTCAAAAACAATGTTGTAGATGTTACTGAATAGCTAAAAGGTTAACTGTAATAATTGAAGGTAGGGAAATTGTTCCAACATATATTACACATCTCTAGCTATAGTTTTAGAGAAACCTTGGAGGCCTTGGGCATAGCAAATGACTCAAGGTTTGGAATGCTATCAGATGAGCAACCATTTTCTTAATATTTATAAACTACCTGAGCAGTAAATTTACTATCAAATTATACAGGGATAGAGAAAGGAAACAAATTTGCTTTCTAAATCTCTTAACTATTTATTTAATGACATCTCCACCAGCATTTATATTTCCTGCATTACCAAAATGTTTAACTAACATGTTACACGTGAGGAAAAAAAAATATGCTACCTCCAAAGTAAGCACATAAACACCATATATATTTAAAGCAGAATTTCTCAACCTTGGCGACACTGACATTTTAGGCTAGATAATTCTTTCTTGTAAAGGGCTGTTCTGTGCTTGTTTAACATTAACAGCCTCCCTGGCTTCTACCCACTATACATTCTCTTTCCCAGCAAGACAACCAAAATGTCTCCAGACATTGCTGAACGTCTGCTAGAGGGAAAAACTGCACAAGGTTGAAACACTGGTTTTAAGGAACTTGAATAAAAATTCACTTTTTAAAAGAGAAAAATAATTAAAACTCTATAGAATGTCAAGATAACATCTAGGCAGCTGGCAACAGATACAGGTTTTTTTTTTTGTGGAAAATGCCAAATTAGTGGGAAAATAATTTGCTACCAAGTTTGTATTATGAACCAGTCACTGGAGCTATATTAATAAATAACAAGAATAATTCAGGCACTTACTGCACCAAAAAGATTGCTATGGCATGTACTCTCAATTTAAAAAACAAGAAAGAAAAAAAACAATGGATGCAGTCAAATCACACAATCCAATAAAGCAAGTCTAGGGGGCCTTCCTAGCTAAGCCTCTGATTCTAACTGGGCTTCTCCACGTTTGCTCCAAGGATCACCGGCATCAAAATCACTTGGAGGCAGATAATAAAACAAAATCCCTGGGAGTGGGCCTCACCTGTGTAATTTCAAGCGATTCTTATGCACACAGAAGTTTGTCTCCTAACAATCACAGAAATTCCTCAGTTCTCATAATGAAGGGGGAAGAAAGGTATAAAGGAATAAAAATGAAAAAAATTTGATGCTGGCTGACCTATACCCTCATCTTTCTTTTTATCTTCTTTCCTTAAAACTCTCATTATCCTCAGACCACTCTCGGGTAAATGGTAAAAATCTATACAGAATATATTTCTGACCAAGAATCTTAGGCTTCGTCCCTGTTCCAACCATCTTATTATTGTTTCCTCTCAAACTGACCAGAAAATAAATCCTAACTAATCAACACTACTGAAGAGCATGCAAAAACACACAACCTCTCCTCCCTTCTGCAGAAAAGGTGGCTATGCATCCCTATCCACGAACCAAAAGGGTTCTGTGAAAAGGAAAACAGTTAACTTGGGCCAGGCATGGTGGCTCAAGCCTGTAATCCTAGTACTCTGGGAGGCCAAGGAGTTCAAGACCAGCCTCAGCAAGAGCAAGACCCTGTCTCTACTAAAAATACAAAGAAATTAGCTGTATAACTAAAAATAGAAAAAACTAGCTGGGCGTGGTGGTGCACACCTGTAATCCCAGCTACTTGAGAGGCTGAGGCAGGAGGATGGCTCGAGCCCAGGAGTTTGAAGTTACTGTGAGCTAGCTAGCCTGACAACATGGCACTCTAGCGCCAGCAAAATAGCAAGATTCTGTCTCAATAAATAAATTAATAAAATAAAATATATAGTGAAATGAGGCCGGGCGCAGTGGCTCACGCCTGTAATCCTAGCACTCTGGGAGGCCGAGGCTCAGGAGTTTGAGAACAGGCTAAGCAAGAGCGAGACACCGTCTCTACTAAAAATAGAAAGAAATTGGCCAAACAACTAAAAATAGAAAAAATTAGCCAGGCATGGTGCCACGTGCCTGTAGTCCGAGCTACCTGGGAGGCCGAGGCAGGAGGATCGCTTGAGCCCAGGAGTTTGAGGTTGCTGTGAGCTAGGCTGACGCCACGGCACTCTAGCCTTGGCAAGAGAGTGGGACTCTGTCTCAAAAAAAAAAAATAAATAAAATAAAATATATAATGAAATGGAAGAAAAACAGTAAATATTGTTGAGGAGAGGAAAAATGCAAATTGTATTTGTAATATGATCCCATATTGTTGTTGTTTTTTTTTTAATTTCAGGATATTATAGGGATATAGATGTTTAGGTTATGTATGTTGCCCCTGCCCCCCCCAATCCCGTATTGTTTTTAAGTTTCATTTACTGTTTTTTTTTTTGTTTTTGAGACAGAGTCTCACTCTGGCTAGAGTGCAATAGCATGGCACACTGCAATCTCAGTGAGCTATGTACTCCAGCCTGGGAGACAAAGTAAGACCTGGGGGGTGGGGGGTGTGGATAAGGAAATATATATATTTTATATATATATATAATATGTATTAAAATATGTGTGTATCTGCATACATATGGGGGGAAAAATCCTGGATGGGTAAGGACACAAACTAAACTGTTAACAGTGATTACCACCATGGAGTAGGAGTAGGAGTAGAAGTGGGGGGTAGAATACGGGCTTTTATTTTCTCATTCGATTTTTTAAAACAATGACTGTGTAGTACTTTTAAATTAATAAACAAGTTAAGCAAGTTCTGAGATATAGCAATGATAAGAAACCATAAGTGAGGAGCCAAAGGCACACTTTTGTTGTACTTTTATAAATTCTCAGTTTGCTGACAAATCCTAAAACTTCTTTCTCTCAAGCAGCAACATATGCCTCTTCATATCCCTTTCAAATCTTACAAAGGAAAATCAAGAATTAAGCAAACTTGATAAATATGAGAAAATCGATGAGGGTTTCTAAACAATCAATAAGGTAGAGAGATGTACTACTACTGATAAGTGCTACAGAGTAATAAAAGTAAACTCTCTATACTTAAGATATATAATCTTTTTCCTTTTGGTTTATTTCTCAAACTCCCATGAACAGAGCTGATACCTCTAGTTTATTCTAACTGGTTTAAAGGACACTCAAACCACTTCTAAATGATTCAAATGCTTTATCCAGAACAAACCTTTTCCTGAACTAATTCTTAATTATCCATGGACAAATTCTCTCAAACTGGATTGCATATACAGTATATCAAACTTCATTTTCTAACAATTTTCAGAAATTCAGAAACAACCATCAGGCTTCTCTCCTTATGTCCCCAAATTTAAAACCAAATAGTAACTGGACAGTCAAAAGAATACGATGTCAACCTTTACATTGAGTAATTTCCCAAAAACTGAATAAAAAAAATAAACTTTAAGCTATTTCACAATTTCTACTTATAAAGTTCCAATAAGAACATTAAGAAAGAAGTAAAACAGCAAGGAAATGAAAAAGCTTCTAAAAAACGCACAAGACAATATACACATCCTCCTCTGTCTTTGTCCAGATACCATTAAAAGCCTAACAAATTGCTAGTTTCAGAAGTCTATTCACTATACTATTTCAGAAATAATCACAGTGTCAGTGTATGTTTCTGGCTCAAAGAGGCAAAAAAAAAAGACTACTCTGCTGTTTCCATGACAATGCCACTTTTGAATCACAATTTTAGAAGTATCAAAGTTACTATTGGCATAACATAGTATACCTATCAATCCTACAATAAAATTACTTAGCAGTACACAATTTGATACAATATTAATTTGCAAACTGACTGGCATTCAAGATAACTGGTAATCAGTTAATCATGAAATTTTTGGTATTTTAAAATCAACATCCTATCCTTTAAAACTAGGATTTCTGATCTTTCATCATATTTAAGAAGAGTTGAGGCCGGGCACAGTGGCTCATGCCTGTAATCCTAGCACTCTGGGAGGCTGAGACGGGAGGATCGTTTGAACTCAGGAGTTCTAGACCAGCCTGAGCAAGAGCAAGATCCTGTCTCTA